TGCTTTTCATTAGTGAGGCTTAATTTGCAGCTAACACAGAACTCCATCGTGACATTCAAAGCTCGTGCAGGCTAGCGTTTTCAACTTTGCTGATAAAGCATTATCAGTTGCCTAACTCGTCCACTTATTTGCTGCCGCAGCTAGCTGGTTCATTGCGGTCGTTCAATTATATCGGTTATAAGCCATTCTTTGCCTTGTTATACCGAACCAGGCTTCTTTCTCATTCATTTCAGTGCAGTGAAAAAAATATATATAACAGGCGAAAAAGCGTTGTTTCAGCGGATTTGCTTTCCTTACAAACTGAAAACTTTTGTTCTAAAATATTAACTCTTTAATTAAGGAAGCCATGGAGTAATAATGAATTTTTAAATTAACATCCAAGAAAAAATATACGAAAATTTCATATTTTTATAAACAATACAGAAAAAAACAAATTTTACTTAAAATACCCTTTTCTTAGGAATTTATCAACTAGTAAAAATAATTTTATATAAATATAGATAATATAAGGAAAAAAAAACTTGATACAAAGTTTCAACCTGAACTTTTCATCGGAATATTTAAATATTTCAATTTTTAATCAACCAATTTAACTTTTCTCTTGCAACTTGACACCTACATGAACACTGAAACATGACATTAGTTATAGAACTTAGTTTGAATTGAAATCGTAACGCAAAATAGGTGTTTTCTTTCTTTCAGGACTGGACGCTGAAGATCAAGTACGTGCAGCTGCGCGACGCTGGACTTTACGAATGTCAAGTGTCATCGCATCCGCCGACGAGTATTTTCATCCAGCTGAACGTCGTCGGTAAGATGCCCTTTTTACTAATTTAGCATTCGAAGCATGCCACTGCGTCGTTCGTCACAGAACTCTTCCTGAAAACTTCAGAGTTATGCGAAGCAGACTTGAATTCGAAATTTAAAGTTTTGCATCGTTTTTTGTACGAATTTGTTTAAAAAATCGGTGTTATTTGGAGTTTTGTGAGTTTTCTACGCGTGGTTTGTTTGGCTGCTAGTTGCAGTAGTAAAGATATACATTGGCGCGCACTTGGCAACGCGAAGAAGAAATAAAATAGAAAAACGCTTAAAGTAGCAGCTTTTATTTTATATTAAAGAAGTTTCGGGCGGGCGGGCGTCGTTGTCGATGGTTTTAAGGACATTACTGCGTGTTACTTCTTGTTCTATTGCTTCGGCAGCAAGTTGTAACATTAATAACGACGGACGCTTTCAACTTTCGCCCCGGTTTCGCCTCCATTCGCCCGCGATAAACAGGCAAATGCCAACACACAACTAAGAAAGAAGATAGAAACTAGGAAGTTGCTTGTCGGAACGAAAACGAGTGCGGATTTAATTAATTTGGTCAGTGGACGACTTCTAAGGCTTGATGCCGGCAATTACACGCCGTGAATATCAATTAGATACGAGCAGGCAGTCAGGGAGAGAAAAAAAAACGAAGCAGTAAGCCAACGCTTTTCTGAAAACGAAAGTGAAAAGTGGCCAACGCCTCAACGGGAAAATATTAAAGCTGATGCCAGCATTTGTATACAAATGGATAAACGAATAACAGACTGTGCCGCGGCGAGAGTAGAATAGCAAAGCGGATAGAAAATTCACGAGAAAATTCTATACAAAATTCAAGTCGTGTTCTATACACTCTACTTTCAGTTTCGATATCCTTCGGACGCAGCACAATAGAAAATGAAATCAATCACTGGAAAAAAGTCGATATCTGCCAACAAACAACAACAACAAGAATGTAGTAATACAGAACCGGCTCAAATATTAAAACTATGTTTTTTTCTGTGTTTTTTAGAAGCGAGAGCAGAAATATCAGGACCAGCTGAAAAATATCTCAAACCCGGCTCTGGGTTGAAATTGCAGTGCACAGTGCTACAAAGCACCGAGAATCCAAGCTACGTGTTCTGGTATCACAATAACAGAATGATCAACTACGACGTCGATCGAGGAATCAATGTGAGCACTGAATTGACGGCGAAGACAAGCACGCTGACGATCACCAATGCGGCGACTAGACATTCCGGAAATTACTCTTGCGTGCCCAGCAATGCACAGCCAGCTAGCACATATGTACATATACTCAATGGTAAGCAATCTAAAAAGTTTTAAAATAAAAATTTTCAAAAGTTAAAAATTATTTCCCGTTTTTTCTGTTCTGAAGCAAATTAACGTCAGAAAGTAAAAAGTTACTGCCATTCTCAATAGTGTATGTTAATTGTCTTCGATTTGCGCTGTCTTCTTGAAATATACGAGAAGACTGTACATTTGCGGTGGGCGATAACGATAAAGTAAAGTTTTAAACAAGTCGAGCGCTACAGCTCCCAATGCAGAAACAATTTGCTCCGCCAAAGACTAATAGGAGTTGAAGATAAAGACGAGTTGTAATATCTTTCCAAAGTCCGCCCCAAACGAGTTTCAGTCTTGAATTACAAACTTTCCGGAATCGAAATTTAAAATCTAAATTTAGTTGTGACTAAATACGAAGCCTTTTATGAGTTTAATCAGCATTCACCTGTTTGATCATCGTAAATCCGAGCGAAATCCGCGTAAAAACTTGTTGACACTCTTTGGTCGCACAGATTAATCCGTGTTTGTTTTTGCAGGAGAAAATCCAGCGGCGATGCAGCACGGCGGCCGCGGATTATCCTGGCTGCAGTGCAGCCCATCGTCCTGGCTGCTCATTATCGGCGTCTCACTGATCGTCGCACATCTGTCCTAGTCATCCAGCGCTCTCGCATTCGAAACAATCAACAAGCGACAATTACATTCAACGTTTAGTGTTAACATAAAATTAACCGCATTGTTCTTCAAACAAGATTAATGTTGGCCGAGTGATTCAACTCAAGTGTAGCTAATTGAGTGCAGTGCAACAGCAAATACTCGACGAGTGATAAACTTTAGATTTGATTAAAATTAAAATATTGACTGTGTGATTTATTGAATGCAGAAAAAAACTTCCGGCCATCGCGCGTTGGATTTAATTGATTATGATTATATGTATGGTTTTAATAATACATACAAAGTTATAAACTAATCAATTCTTATAGAAATAGATTGAAATTTAAGTAAATTTAAGTAATGAAAGGAAACACATGTGGAATTTATATACTTAACACTAGCCAGGATCAAAATAATGCATGGATGCAAAACAAATGTGTTTAACTGATGTTACACTACCTGATAAGAAAGAATATTTTGTAATGAAGAAGTTTAATTGATCCAACAAACATTATATTGATAATAATTGATGTTAAACAATGAAAGCGTTTTTTAGTAATGTAAATAAAATTATTAAACGTGACAATTTGTGAAAGTTCAATCAAACTCATAAAGGAAGACATAACTGAAGTTTTGTGTATAATAAACATTAATAAATTTCTTCACAAAAAGATAATATGAGCTACAAATAAGAGAGACGTGCATAATTCCTAAATATATACATGTATACATGTCATTTTTAAACATTACAAAATTGACTTATCTTTAATCCATTTTAACGACTCTCATTCAGTACTGAAACATCAACCAATATTGTTTTTAGCATCACGATTGTGATTACAAAACTTGAAATAAATGAACAAATTGTTCCATGCTGCCGTTATGATACTCATCAGTTAAAAACCAAAATGGGAAATGTACTCTATGTTTATGTTTACATACTGTTAATTAATATTGATATTCGTAATGGTACTGATAACAATTATTGTGAAATGACACGAATGCCACACGAATGGATGACGAGCGGGCGAATTAAAAGAAAAGCTAAATGATAATTACATACATATATAAATATACTTTAATAAATAAATATGGATTAATTAGGCATATACGGACGTATGATAAAAGAAACATTTGATTAGTTACATTGGAAACAAATTAAAACGCGACGGACAAGCAAAGAGATTTGATTAATGAAAAAAATATAATAAAAATGTTAATTTCACAAAAGTTCACCATGACTGAGTTTCATATGTTAATAAAATACATTATTTTATAATTGTTTATTAACAATAATAGTCGGTTTTATTTATAATATGTTTGTATTAGTTTTAAAATAATGTTGAAACATAGATAGCGCCAATTTACTTTAACTAAGGCTTACTTAGAGTTTTCCAATGTTGTTAATATTATATAGATAATACTTATATAATTAATTATATACATACATTCCATTATGTACTTATAACTATTATATACATGTATAAAAATTTATTTAATAAAAAATATGTAAATATCAAGTACGTAAATGTGTTTTTATAAGATTTTCAGGTGTAGAAATTAAACGTCTACAAATAATTGAGAAGATTTCTTATTGCCATTCATGTTTAAGTATTGTTACTTAAGATTAGACTGTAACATTGCAACAGCAAAAATAATAGTCAGTAGTATATGTTAATATTTGTCCAGGACGACGAGTAATTCGTATGTTATTACTTTAGTTGTGTTCGTAGAATATTTAAACAATTATTTTATCTATCGGCCTAAGTTGTAAGATGATATGCAAAAATACACACGTTTATATTCTGGATGCAATTAGATTTGATATCTTTATATTTATATATTATTTCAATTATTGTTTTGTTAATGTACAAACATTTATGTTTTTTTTGTTTTAATTATGGTTAATGTAAAATTAGTTGATAATCTCACTTAATGTTAACTTCTCGTACCATTCAATGGAAGGACATGGAATTATTTTACCATGCTTAACATCAGGTTTATCAATATTTACATTAATTAAACGTATTGATATTAAAATATGAATTTGAAAATTATTTTAGTTTAAAATCAAAAAATTTGATTTATTGAATAATTTTAAATAAATTTGTACGATTATTATTTAAATATTGTTAATAATTTTCAAATTCATACAGATAATATCTTGTCATGAAGATTTAAAGTTAAGATTAGTCTTATTTCAATATTAGCAATAAAATTTAGTATTTACGTTGATAAATGGAAATAGAAAATCTACAACATTTTCATTTTATAGTTTATTAGCAAAACAACCATGATAATTGTCATTTTTCTTTCATTATTTAAGCTAATGTGTTAGTTTGGCTTAATTTGAGTTTGTTTTGCTTAGCTTAGTATAGCTCTCGTCATTATTATCCGTTTTGATTACATTCCTGGCATATTCCCGCACTGCTAGCGCATTAACATTCCATCCATTCATATTAATAGATTTAAAACGGTCATCTGTGCATTATCACAGGTAGCAGGACATACATCACCAGCAGGTGTTGTTTTTGTGTACTTTGTCTTGAAGAATGCGAGGATGTAGATGAGTTTTTGCTTCCGTGCTGCATTGCAGCTGGTTTTTCACCTAAAATTAATCAAATATTAGTATTTATATAAGAAAATACGTTAAAAATTTTGTGAAAATATTAAATATGATGAATTGGCAAATTTTGGCGTGTAAAGAAATTTAATATTTTGAGTTACATGCGGATTATACGCATCTGTTTGAAACTGAATATACAAACAAACACAGAGGAGGCGTACAAAGGGATAGAAAGGGATTAATTGCTATCGATCGGTCGTAAATAACAACACGAATGGTCATCATGATTTGTAATCTCATGTTAAATAAATATACTGTCTGTTACGGTGAATTATTTAATCAAATCAAAATGCTTAAAAATGTCAATAAAAATTCAGTTTTCAATAAATTAACATAAAAACTTATTTTCTTTTAAAGAAATTGTATAAAAATAGTATTTGAATATATAGAGAATAAAAAAGTTATCTTACTGTGAAGGACGTGAACATTGACACTATCCGGACGTGCGTTTGACGGCACGCATGAGTAGTTTCCGGCATGGCGAACTTCAGCGCTAGGGATGAGTAACTCGCTGCCTTGCCGCCCGTGGCGCACCGCCGCCCCGCCGCCCAGATCGTAATTGATCATACGATCGCCATGATACCAAAAGATATATTCCGGCGCCTCTGTGCTACGCTTCAGGACACAGCTGAGCAACAGCGGCGACCCAGACTTGACGATCTTATCCGGTCCGCCAATTATTTCAGCGTGCGCTTCTAAAAACCCAATAACAATATACAAACATGTTTGAAATGTAAATTATAAACGTAAAAATCCCCTTTGTACTTTACTCACGCAAATATTGCTAAATATTATTTCAGAGTCCTGATTGCGAATATACCGCATGTTGTTTTATTTATTTTAAATAAAGTTTACGCGTTTTGACACCCTATTTGCACTGGTTGCAAGTTTGGATTGTGATTGCACAGGGCAATACGATGCATACGAACCTACTAATTGTAATTCCACATAAACACTCGCCGGAGGATGGGAAGACAATTGGCATTCGTATACGCCGGCGTCATCTGTGTCCACGTATCTGATGTGCAGCGACCAATCCTGTGGGGGGTGTAGGTGGATTGTCAGCGTTCCAATTTCCATTCCAAATTCAAAGCAAACACATTCCGTGCGGATGCGACGTTGAAATCACAAAAATTCAACAACAAAACATTAATAACGCAAACACTCGCAGCCGAAAAAAAATAAAATATTGATGTAAATATTAAACATTACCTTGCCACTTTTACCACTGCGAGCGAAAAATCTGCTGTCGCTGCTGTAGGTCAACAGACCAAAAGTTAATATTTGATAGTCCCGTATCCGCTTCCAAGTGACCTGACGCGCAAAAAAATCTCATTAAAACTTTATTATATTGAAAAAAAAAACGGGGTGGAAAATCCCAACTGGGTGGCGCGGCCAATTCTTATAATAAACGATCGTTGCTTTCACAAAGCACAGAAAAAAAAGGAAAGAAGATAAAAGAGGTTTTCGGTTTTTCTATGACGGAAATTAATCGTTGTTACCCCAATCTGACGAAATCAATTGTCTCATTCCGTTTCAATAAGTTTTTAATACTTTTTGACATTAATAGCACAATGATGGGAAACAAATTAAACGAGGATTTATGAATTGGCAGCATTTCATTAGTGTGAAAAATGAGTTTATACTTACCGTGCAATTTCCAATATCAGTAACTTCACAATGAAGAACAGCCGTCGTCCTTGTTTGCGCGTGAACTTTTGTGTGATTTGGACTGAGGAAAAACCTGGATGGTTTTACATCCACAGTTTGATACACCGAATTTGGTCCTGTGTCAAATTTGTGATTTTTACCAAGTGCTGATAAGAGATCATCTTTGTCTTTATCTTTATCTGAAAAATTAAAGGATATTTTGTTAGTTGCGACCTCTGCAGTGAAAATTCTGTACTGTGAAAATCAATGCGAAATAAGGACGAAAAGGAAAACGTTGGAGGATTGTTATGTTCGAAAAGTATGCGATAGATGGCGCAATGTGTGCCGTTAGAGGTTTAATAGTCACGTTTATTGCAATTTTTACAGTTGGCAATAGAATGTTATTGTTTTGAAACTTGTTTACAATTTTAACACGCCTGATGTCACCTTTTTATCTCTCGAATTGGATATGAGAGTATTTGCTGTACATTTCATGTTCATTTAGACCGCCGTCGACAACATCGTTCCATCGCTTATTGTCGTTTGCGCTGAAGGTTCAGCCACACTGTCCGCTGATAGCAATAAATGCGATTGCGTTCCGCGGTCAGGAAAAACCCTTTGCGCTACACGCCGAATGTTGTTGCTTCGTGCCACGATGCTGTTTTCGGGCACATTTTATTGTCACCATTAAGACGGTCGTTACACCAGAAGCCCGCGCACGCACACGAACGTGCACTATTTAACTAGTGATGAGGATTTTAAATGTCATGCCGCAACATACGCGTTCGAAGCCATCGAGGCGCAGAAGGAAACAATGAAATACACAAATGTTGAAAGCGCGCTGCGTGAAACACACAAAAGTGCTGCGGCGGCGGCGCGGATTAGGGGGTTAATGAAAGAGCGCTAGCCGACAATAACATATTTAATTAAGCGGTTTATATGTTTGCTTAGTTTATCGAGCGTGATACGCGAATGTACGCCAAATGCTACTGGCGAATGCCGGTCGCCAAAATGCGAGGGATCGCAAATTGAAAAACAAGAAAAAACCGCATGTAAACACGTAGAGACAAAAAAATAAAATAAAAATAAATTGGAAACAGAATTTAAGCGGTAAGAAGTATAATACTTAAAGTATGATTGTTTTGATTAAAATTTTTGGTTTGAGAAACGACAAACAATAGTGAAGACATTACACAATCTCGTCAGTATTGAAATGTAAATATTTGCTGGAGATATTTAAACATTTGTGTACCAACAACCATTATTTGCGCTCTAACAACCCGCCCAAAAGTAGATTACGCTTTTTATAAATATTAAACTCATGTAAACAGTAATAAATGGCTTCTGAAGTAAGAGTTACGCCTAGCACATACATATTTAAACAGAGCCAAAAAATATCTACCAACGGCATTGTCTTTCGACTATTTCAAGTCGCGGTTTATGGTTTAAGTTAGTTTATTGTTCTCCGAAGACCGAAAGAAGAGAAAACGCAATGTTTGTACAAAATATAATTCAAAATGTAAAAAAATGAACAAAAACATTTCTTGTAATCGCAAAGTTATTAATTTAGTATAAATGTGGGTATAAAATATGTAAATGTGTTCACAATTTGTTCAGAAACATGAAACACGTAGTAATTTCGTCTGAAAAGTTAAACTTGTGTCGAAATTTAGTTCATGACGATAAACTTCCAAACGCCAAGAGCTGAATCATTCAAAAACAGATAATTTTAGTTTTTTCTATTAAAATATTCATTTTTTTATTTGTAAAATAATTTATTCAGTGTTATGACTGTATTATTGCAAATATGTAAATGTAAATGTAAAGCAATACCCAAGGATTAGCTAATGGCGCAAATGGTGATGAGATAACCGGCTGAATCCTTGCGTTGATAAGAAACGTATGCAATACCTGGAATTTAGACAATTTGCACCATCGCCATTTTGTTGGCTTGCTCTTCTCACTGCCAATACTCGAGTATACCAACCACTCTACGAAAATGGCACGCGAGCTCTCGTCGCGCACGAACCGAAAGTAATTATCGTTAATTGGCTTTACCGTTTGTTAATTAGCTTTGTGTACAGTGTGGAGATACCGGCGATGCAGGAGCCTTATCTTGTGTACCTAGGACTTGGATAATCTAATGACAATGCACAGAGTAATCAAAGCACGCCAGATTTAAAGAACATTCTTTAATCTTTTTTAAATACTGTTTAAAATACTACACAGTTAAAATTATGATAAAATAAAAATATGTATAGTCGTATATTGTCTTCTAAAGTGTTACAATGTGAATGGGTAAAGTTAATTATAATATTTGTCGGCGCAATTGCAAGAAGCAGATGATTTACGGACTCGCAGCGAACAATGTGCAAGCGTCAGGACTACAAATGATATGTACACTGTACATACATGCGAATTCGAGTGCGCAACTTTTCCGGAATGCGCTTTTCTATAGTTGGTTCGTCGCATTATTTCTGCGTAATCCGCTGGAGGAAATTTACGACTTGTATGCAGCGCAACGGATGAAAATTCTAAATTTAGTGATTAATGTCACTTTGTATTTATTTTCGTTGTTTCCATATTGATATTTACTCGAAACAGAAAACGAAAACAGGATTGATTTGCTGTAAAATTGTCCAGCAGTAAAACTAGTAATAAAAAGCGCACAAATCCTTATTAGATATGCGTCAATCCGCGCGAATGTACACATAGTCATGGAACAGTTGAAGGGAATCAATTTTGAAACGCTCCACAAACAGCCAACGACTATGGGGGTCGTTGCGAACGTCAGCGGCGACAAACTTTTCCAATTTAAACTTGCCACCGCTCGCCATTTTATTTCTTTATTCTTCGTCATGCATTTTTTAGTTCGCTCTGCATTATTTCATAGTTTCATCATAATTTAACACGCTGCCTGCCGTGTCATAAACAATTATATTTGCTGGATTTTACTAGATTTTATTTTGTATTGAAATAGATCAAAGGAAATGTTTTTAACACAACATATATAATTTTATAATTAAATTTTTGTTGTTGCTATAAAGAAAAGTAATTATTTTTAAGCTTTTTTCCTATTTTTTTGTTAGTTTTGTTGGTGCTTGCGTCAGTTTTTCTAAAACTGCTATAAAAATGTTAATCAAATACGATTGTAATTGGAAAAGTGGACAAAAATATAAGCGACGTTATAGAAATGGCAGAAATAACGTGCGCAGCGTGTTGGCATTCGGCAAACGCCTTTTTGCACGAGCCGTTAAACGTGCCCCGAAATATAGATTAGCACGCCGAAGAGCGAGATATATAACGAGTCGGTTTTTTCTTTGCCCGCCATGGCGTGAAATCAGGTAAACCCGGAGAGACGACGGCGCTCTTCCGCAAGCCGGTGTGTAACGCGACGGTCGGGCGTTTCATTGTCTGTGCCATTATTGCCTTATTGGAGCAATTTATCGCGCACCATATAATGTGTCCCGGCGTACTCTTCCGTCTCAATCAAGATCGAATCGTTTTCTATACATCCAACACCCGACGCCTCGCTATCTCACCATCGCGGCCCATCCAAACTCTCGGCTATGAAATAAAGTGCTCGCAGATATACTGCCATCAATAAAATACAAACAAATCTTTAATTTAACAACCTCAATCCAAACACAAAACAAAAATTGTTTTTATATTGTTTTTAAAGTAAAAATATTAATGTTTATTATTTTTTATTAAAATTTTAGTGTTTTTGTAACAAACAGTATGTAAGAGTTGCCTTAAAATTCGCTCAACTGCAGAGTCACCGAATGATGGCTTCGGTGGTGGCACGTCAGTGTTGCTTCATTCTGGGAGGCGTCCGGGTTGACAACGCCATTGCTCTTCGCGTCCAATCGCCATCTAATATCTTTCGGGGGTATCACGACCGACATTAATGGAAACGTAAACGTAAACGTAAAAGGAAACGAAGCACCTCGACCTCGTGGTTCTTGCCCAGCGAACCTCCAACTGGTTCAATACGCAATCTTTATCCGAACCTTCCACCTCGTCCATTTGCTTCTCATATATCAAATATATCAAGGGATGCAATCCAATCTGTCTTGCTCACAACACGCCCGCTGACGTGCTTTCAATGCAACGCCGCGTAAAACTAATTAGATTTTTCCGCTGACGGCACAACCTTCTTCAAACCCTACGTCAAAGCTGCAAGTAATACAAGCTGCAACAGGCCACTAAACTTCTGTCTATATATTTAATCAACTTTACGCATTAGTCATGTTAATATGACAAACAAGCAAACACCACTTTAGTCGACGTAAAGTGTAAGGGTGAGCCAACATCTAAAGGACTAAGTACGCTTAAGTAAACAAACAAAAGAGGGTAATTAGAAATTTGAAACACCCGTTACAAGACTTGCACACACATTCGATGGCGTTTATTATTGGTTTCTGTGCTACAAAGGAACAAGATGCCTTAGAACGACCCCGATACACAGATGGCTTTAATAATTACAAATTACCGAAGACGATTAATGCGCGAAACGCGATTCTGGGTGCGTTGGACCGCAGAATGGCCGATTCGCACCCGCCATTTTGGTAGAATTTCCCGCTTTGTCCGAGATATTGACGCATCGCCGCGTTTACACACTTTGACGTGTATGGATTACAGATGTAGATACGCAGACGCGCCCACCACACCGAAATTAATTAATTTACGTTCGGATGAAATAACTCGCATGGATTGGGTAGAGGAAATTAATTAGTTTAAAAATTGAGCGTTTAGATGAAGCACGAATTGTTTTTTGAAATGTTCTGTCTGGAACATGTGCACGTGTCTGTAAAGTTTTCCAAACCACATCTCAAATATCATAGACAGTAAAAGTTTGAAGAGCACTTTTGAACGATGAACTGGTTTTTATTTCGCCCGAGGAGTTGGTTCTAATCTAGCTTCGGTTTCCATTCTTTTTCCTATTTTCGTTCCATGGCGTTTGGCTACGGCTACACCGAGTCAAAAGCAGCTCGGTACTACGTGCAGATTTGATATTCCGAGCATGTTTGGGACACTAGTTAGAAAACTCGCTGTCGAATCGTTCAAATTCAGAAAGAACACGAACTGCACGCCGGCACTGATCGTGACTGCCACGTCGTCTTCCTTCCTACAGTTTCTCTCCTTATCTGTCTCATTTGAAGACGTTTACAAAAAAACTGGTGGAAAAGTTAGAGTCGGCCATGTGTACGCGGCGACAAAAGTTTGGTCAGTAAGTGAAAGGATAAGAGATAAGCCAAAATTTAAGATTCGCCGCCTAGAGATGAGAAACGCGAAATCACGCCGACTGTCCGCGCTGTCAGTTTGTCGCGTCGTGAATTGGATCTGCGGTTGGGGTGGCCAGAGGCCAACAATGTGTGCTCCAACTCTTCGAAAGTAGCAAGTTCCGATTTTGTGGGCGCGGATTGGAGTGAGATGGCGTACAAGTGAAGGAACTGAACGAAGTGGCAAAAGAAGAAGGCGGTAAAGCCAATTCAATTGAATTCTATACCTTCCAGGAAAAATTGGGACTGGGGAGACATGCCGATGTCCGCAGCACGAAGCCCCGGACCCTTTTATTGGTGTCGGCAATATTGATTTGACTAATACAATCTATATCAATAAGCTGGAATCAATTTTGATTGAAACGATACGAATTGTGAATGGTGGTACCTGATAATTGCCATTTATATTATTTACATATGTTTTTGTTCTTTGGCTTGCGCCTTGTTGAAATTTACACTGTTAAATCAGTATTTATAAATATTGAAAGCATAATTAAATTACGTATTGAATTCGTGAATGATGGCGGATATATTGATTGAAGCCAATTTTTTGAAGCCGACGTTTAATTGAGGTTTTGTGGCGCGCTGTGGTCCGCAGGGGGAAAAAGTCGAAAACTAGAATTTTATTACGCCGAATATAAATTACCTATGGCCGCTTCCCATCGACGACAAATTGATGATGACGCAGCGGGATCGCCGCATGTACATGCACTTTCCGTTTGCGCTGCAATTGATAATTGAATTTCGCTTTCGCCACGCCGTCCAAAGAAAAACCGGACCGGTTTCAATCAAAATGCAATTATAAAGTGTAATTATTTCCATACAATAGAGAATTAGGTACTAATGCTAAAACAATAAAAAAATGCTTAATTGTTTTATGCTGTAACATGTCAGAGATAAATTTTGCAGAATCAACTTTTTGTCGTTGGAAAATTGACTAACATCATATATCATCCCCCGCTTGATTGTGAACATGTTTTGCATGCCGCTGGTGAGGGCGTAGTCTATTACAAGAGAAACAGGCGAAAAACCGATCACCAACAAGCCTAATTCCAATTTAATAATTAGCTCTCCCTTTCGCCGTTCGTTTACCGTTTGCGCTGTTGGTCAGCAGCCGTGCATCTCGCCACTAAACAAAACAACTTCTAATTTATTACGGTCGACCTCATACGTAGTATAGCGCATCTGTATGCTTGGCGCGCTTAGATTGTGGTCGGCAGCCCGCCTGGGACCACAAAACTTCCCTGCACTTTTTTGTATTCACGCCTGTGTTCACCGCCCTTATTTGTCCGCATGCGGAAACTTTCATTCTGCAGTGTGCAATGGCTTGTTACGACCGAAACAACTACGAGGTGATATCCAGAAAATACTTGTACGACATATTTCTGCTTGTTTTTAAACTTTCAAGAGGTGCTTCAAGCAGCTCGAAGTAATTTAAGCTGCAGCCAAGAATTTTTAAATTACTTACAAATTTAACTTTTTAATTACTTACATTCCAGGTTTAATCACATTTTGAATTCCGTTTCAAACAAAATTTGCGGTTTGAGAATAAAATTTTGATTATGGTGGTCGATGAAAGCTTACGTTGCACATTTATGGTGCAACAATAAATTGCAACGAAAAGCCTTGCGGATTCATGCGATGTGTGGAAGTGTGACCCATTTAAGTCCACCCATCCGCTAACCGAACCAAAAAGACCAACGTCGCGTGATCCTAAGAATGCTCGAACGCCGAACGCCGTTCTAAATCTTGTGCGAATACATTTGATTAAATTATATCTATCTATTTAAAATGTTTCCTCGCGCGGCTTGCTCAGTGCAATTCGAGATTTACTAACTTCGCTCCAAACGCTGAGTCGGGCAAAGCGTTTGCACAGAAATTCAATAATACAACTTCTTAGTACTGCGTACTTTTGGTAGTTTTGTAACTTTTTGCTCGAGATTCAATTTAAAATGCAAAAGCAAGGACGAGACGACGAATATTTCATTCGTTATGAGACCATCCGGCTGCCATCGACGCCCGATTACGCTTGACTTGCTTGCGAGGTGAATCTAAATAGTTCGACGGCTGATAGGAAATCGTGGAATTCATTAGAGACGCTTTACAAGACGTAAACGTCATTCGAGGCGAGAGACGAGCGTGCCGTGCAAGCAGCAGGTTCGCGGTTGGCTAGATTATATCGCAAAAGTATCTATAGATTAGCTGGCGGAGTGGTTGAACGTATTCATGTCAGTTTCGAGGAGTTTTCCCGGCGGGTCTCCAATGCCGCACCAGCGCGCTTCATGTATAATTTGTCATTGCAATGCAGTACGCCTGATCACTCTGTTCGATATTCATTATCTTGGCTTGTTCGAACGCTCGCGTATGGTGTTAATTAAATTGACATGGCGATTTAAGCGGATTTTAAGCAAAGTATATTTATTTTCTCTGTAAAACGCTGTTATATCGATTTGTAATTTGAAACCTGGTAAAACCGACAAACAAAACTCTTATACATGAATATTTATTATTGGATATTAAAAATATTGCATTTTAAGCACAGAATACAACTTTACAGTCGTTTTACTGTGAGCATTGCGACAGGAAATGAAAAATGAACGAATCAGAAACATCTGTGTACGTATAAATTAAAACAAAATAGTATCGATTCGTTTCAATGCCTGCAATGTGCTTGTAACCGATCATGTTTCACATGGTAATATATTTCTATGGTGTATTTATGTCAAACGTGCGTATTTTGTTGCTCATGCAAAAATTGATCGAATAATTCGAATTTTGTACGTGTGCAAATTGCATTTTCGAAATATTCGCCTAAATTTCCAATAACGAAGTTCACAACGTTCAGATGGGGCGCGTAAAAACGTCTAAAATAATGCAGCAGCGTCAGGTCGCGTTTTCCAAGCTTTGCGCTTATTAAATTTCCCCCATCCCGCTGCGTTTTCTTATTGGGCATCGGAAATGTTCAGCTCGCCCAACAATTTTTTGCACAACGTCACGGGGACCACGCCAGCCTGGAGAAGATACCAAGTGATTGACTCGCAACTGAAATATTAATCTTAAAAAATTCTGGCAGGTCTTTCAACTTGATATTTTTTAAGAACAAAAAAAAACACCCCGAAGCATATTGCGTTGGAAAAAAAAACACGTTAAAATTTTTATTAGCAAAAATAAACAACATTTTAAAAACATCTTGAGAATAATAGGTGTTTACCTGGAAAATAACGATTTAATCGTTCTCTCCGTCGATGGTTACCATAAATTCCACCGCAGCAGCAAGTTGCTACTATCACCGTGAAGACGATCCAACTGTGCACAGTCATGATGATGCCGAAACTCGCTCTCTCCCACACGCAATTATCCTTCACATGTACAAGTTTTGCTCAACAACGGAAATTTTACACGGAATTTTCATGTTGCATGCAACTTGCCAAATTGAACCCTGAATCGAACAAACGTGTTGTAATCAAAATCGTCTGCAGGACTACTTATTATGTAATGTTCACAAAGGGGTGAAACTTTAGCGGGCACACTGTTTTGGCACTTTCCAATTAATTAACCCGTTGCACACTCAATTCGCACTGACGCACGCCCGCACCGTTCACACATGCACAAATCAAACTCGCGTGCTCACCGGTTCAATCTCGACGTGATAAATGCTTGATATTTCCGACAATTATGCAATCAGTGTAAATTGATTAAGTCATTATTTAAATATGTGCATTGGGCAATAATTTCACACTTAATATATGTATTTCTGATGTGTTTTACGTAAGTTTTTGTTTAAAATTGCGTTTTTTGTAATTTTGTGGTTGATATTGTGGAGGAAAAGAAAATAATTCAAAGGATATGTGAAGAATGTATGCGTAAATAAGGTAAAATCTGGTTTATAAACTTCCCGCGACAGTTATAACCGTTTTGCGCCAGTAGATGGATTAAAAGCACAGCAAACTTCAAAAAAGAGTGTTGTACACTCAGCACGTGAAACACCATTTGCACAACATCCACAAGTTGAAGAACTATGTAGCTGGGAGTTTGTCAAAGTTTGACATCCTTGCCGCAGATTTTTCCGCGTAGTGTTTTCGACACCGTGCAGGAATTCGCGTGGCGTGGCGGGTTGCGTTCTCAACGTGACAGCGTCGCGTCGACGACTGGCATCTCGCGGCGCTGCGATGCGCTTGCGGAACTGCGTCGACCTTTTCTAACCGGCGCCTCCGCCAATATCCCCAGTCGGCGCGCCGCGAGCGTCGCCCGCGCGCTTGGAAAGTCATCATCGTTAAAGCCGGTCCGAGGCGCCGTCACCTAAAAGCCGACACTCTTCGAGTGTGCAAAGGATCGCAGCGTGATAGCGCTGATGGCGCATGGAAAGGATGCGAGGCGCGACTCAAAGGGTTGCTGTCGCTTAGACTGGACGCGCCCGGCGTACATCCTGCTTGTTAATTATTTATGTTTGTTCTTAGTTTAATGTTGTCAACAAATGTCTTGGAAGTTTCTCACTCTGGGCGAAATTGAGAGCTGTCCTTGGCTTTTACGCAGGCCGGGCATTGTTTTCCGGCAGCTGATGGTTATAATGGTCCGGTTGACTTTAATATAACTCACAAACTTTTCAACTTTAATCATTCCAGTCATAAAATATAATTGACAAGGTACAATTTAATCTTGTGGCTTGTCACACATTGAAAAATATTTTTATACATTTCTGTTATTATCTTGGAAAGATTTTCACGTTTGACACGTCGTCGTCAGAATATCCACCCTCTACCTGTCTCAGAAAGTGTATAACTTTGTCTGGGGGATGATGGGGACGGCGCTAATAATATCCGTGAACGACAGTGCGCACCCCTTCTTCAACGATGCGTTATGATCGTCGATTTCGCCGTCGATGCCTCAATAGACGTCTCACGCTCTCACCGTACACGCGCGCACGTGAACATTTCCGGACACGTACCATGCGCCGCCTCCCTACACGCATATTGCGGGGGTGCGCGGCGGTAAAAGTGCCGGTTCGCTCCCTTCAATGATTTCATCATTTCTCTTTCCACTCGGTGTCGGCGGACGGAGTGCCAAGTCGAAATTACAAACGTTTCCTTTGTGTATTATCGAAATCAATTTACGTCCGTGTTATGAGTATCATTCCAGACGTCGAGCCCTTAAGGTTCAAAGACAAAAACGCCGAGAATGGTCGTTAGGAACTTTTCGGAAGAGAGGCAAAATTGCCTGCAAGAAAAACAAGGAGAAAGTTTTCGACTAAAGTTAATTTCGTGTTTTAGTCATAAAAATGTTAATATTTACTGAAGTAAGGTATTTATAGAAGTTATTATAACTCATTACAACTCTAAAGATGTAAATACATATTTTTGGTTGTTTAAATTGCGTGTTTATTAACAAAAATCATTTTAGCAGTATTATTCCACTGCATCCGATGCTTTCAGAAACAAGGGAGTATCGCATTCTCTTCCAGCATAAAATCACTCAAGGGAATTGACTTTGCGATTATTTTTATCGATTGTTCTCGTTGCTGTGCAACTGTGCATCTGTGCAACTGCAGTTTTACCAACACTACAACACAATATTGCAAATTTCAACTCGCAATCATCGTTATGCAACCGCGCAATAACTGGTTCACACCAAATATATTCCACCTCATCTTCTGGCGATCACTCAACGCCTACTCGATATTCAGCGCGTAATTGAAATAATTAAAGTGCTTCCGGTCGTGTAATGAGTGTGTACATTGCATATAAATGCTCGCCGGTGAGTGCATTCTCTGGTCTTAGTAGTATTTTTTTATTTCTGCACGGCGCAGCGAACGAGTAAAAGTGTTCGTTGTGTATGGTCCGCAGAGCGGAAAGCGGAAAGCTTAGGAAGTTAAAGAAAGCACTCTTATGCATTGCTTCCTAAGCGCACAAGCTCCGGAAAACGGCGAGCGCGGTAACGCGCTAACAAAACTGATCGGTAAAATAAAATAAGAAAAAGAATCGGCATGTTGAAAAAGTGCCCCATCGGACGGAAGTAAGCGGTACTTATTATGTAGAGGAATTTAACAGTTTGTCGCGTTTAAATAACAGCCAACCGGATGTGCAAAATTACACACTAAAGTTCACGCGATATTTTAATAAAATAAATTGTTGCGGGTTCTAAATTATTTATTAAAGTGGCACACTCGACTCGTTTTGTTGTTCTTATAATATTTATGTGGACCTCTCCAGAAAGTAAATATTTATGATCACATTTTGGGGTCAAACTAAACAAGCTACCACTCTAAAAGGATTATAAGAGGTCCTTCATGAATATGTATTGATAGCGCGATGAATTAAGTAAGTAAATATTTGTGCAGTGTTGGGCCGTATATCAAGACAAAAATTACGTGGGATATTTCCGCGTCATTCGCATATTTTTGGTATTTAATCAACCGTGACTTAAAATATTTTTGAAATTATTTATGTGAACTTCCAAAAAACGCTGAATTGTTATTGACAACTCGCATATAACATGCGATTCGAAACCGACAACCCTGTAGCGATGCGAAACATAAAAGTTTTATTATTTCCAGACGACATGAACGCTGCCACCACGCAATTGTTACGATTGTGCGGTAAATCTGCCCGCACTCGCGCAGATGGATAGACAAGAAATATTAAAGTCGTAAGAGACAAACCGCAATTTTATCGACAGCTGAATGTTAAGTGCAATATAAGAAACGTGTGTGGTGTGTGACACGAATATAATCTTAAACTGTTTCGAGCACGCGCGTAAAAAACGTTCGCTTCGAATGTCAAAGAGTAACACGAGACAGATGAGATGAGAGTGTCAAAGGTTGAACATTTTTTTCTGTTTACAACAATAAAAACAAAAACGTCAGCAAAAAATAAAATAATAGATTTTGCGCAGAATGTGTTTTCTGTTTAGTTATGTAGTCAACTTGGCGTTAAAATACATGTGAGGTTGTTTGAAGATTTTGGCGCATTCTTGAATAATTCCGTTTTGAGATTCGCGAAAACATGCTCAAGAATTCTCACGTTCCGCCGTTGAATTTTACATTTTGGTGACGAACAAACTCAGCGAGTGTAAACTGGCTTTAATTTTAGTACTAAGGACTAAACAAATGTTTGACGTTTATCGTGGAAATTGTTTATCACTTTAAACTTTCGGATGTAAAATAAAATCAAACAAGCGTCGCTGGTATCATAGATGCTACTTAACCCAAATTCACATCTAACTAGAAAGGTTTATGTTTGAGTTTATTTTAATGGCATTTCAAGTTAATACCTTTAAAATACAACCGGAACGGCTCGAAATGAAGCACTAATTATAAAACGGTTTAAATTACATTAAAAGTGCCGCGCATGGCCGCAAGGTACGAATTGCGACCAAAAAACAACGAAAACAAAAAACCGCAATGAATGGGGCGAATAAAAAACGAGCAAAGACGTGAAAAACGTATTATGCTGAAACGTGCTAGCAGAATAACGAGTTCAAGGTTTAAATTGACAAGATCTAAAAAATGCGAAACACCTTTCAGCTAAAACAAGAAAAAATAACATTTTATTTAATTTTTATGTACATTATTCAGGAAGAAGAAAAAAGAAGATTAATAATAAAGAGAATTGAATATTACTGGATTGGAAATATTTTTTATTGAAATAATATATTTGTCGTCCCGAACAACACGCTGTTGTGAAGCTCTTTTTGCAAAAACCCTCGCTGCGAAATCTACTTTTCTAGTTATTTGTTTTTTAGCTGATGGAAAAGCTGGCAAAAAGGTTTCACATGAAGCGAATACTAAATGTAACTCGCACCGCACGGCATCGAGGGGCCGAGGGCAAATTGCAACCGGAGAAAAACGCGCCCCGAAACGGCGAATGTCAACCGTTGAATGCGGCGGCGAACGAAAACGCGCGACAGCTAATCTCCGATATTAAGATTTATGCATCGGGAATTTTAAATATGTTGCTGTAGCCTTAACCAGCTCCCAACAGCCAACACCAAAACACTCTTACACCTGTATGTGTAAGCTGCTACATCTGCTACACAAAGAACGATCATGATCACGAGTTTACACAAAAATATACTGTGTGCTTCCAAAATAAATCAAAAATTTAAAATTTACTTGTTTTTACGACGAAAACAAAACACTGAATATTTTTCTATCTGTAAATGGAATATAATAATTGTGTTTGTGTTTATTTTGTATTCAGATTCGCCTGTTAACATTTAGTAAAATAAATCAGTTCGTGCATGCAGATGAAGTATGGGCGATTCAGTGGAAATTCATCACGCAATATTAAATTACGTTTTAAGCACAATAGTACACTGAAAACACATTGCGCATTCAAAGACTGGTCGTTATCTGTGCTCAGGATAGCAAAACGAATTGTTATTCGCTGAAAAGTAATCAACACACATCGATAACCTCAAACACATGCTCCGCATTGAAATTAAATTCAAGCGCTGTTAGATGGCGCGACTTGTAACAAAATAAGCAAAAATATATAAAAAGCATTCAGGTGGATGGTGACAAATAAGTGTATTATATTCACATTTATAGAATTGCTCTGTTATCGCTGTGTAAAGAGAAAAAATCAGACGATGGCAGCCCGTCGAAGTTAAGCTTGTGGAAATTATCGGAAAAAATTCCGGTCGAAGACAAAAAGAAAAATGACTCGACGTTTTCCACAAGAATGAAAACCTTGACGTTTTGCGTCAAGTCATTCCGCAAGAATGATTTTCTGAAGCAATGGCAAAGAACTTCACATTCACATATGCTGGATTTACCGGATTTACATTCGGACAGGAACCGAATGTAAAAGTTAAAAGATAAAAACCGCTCTAATCTTGATCGTACCTAATGACTAAAGTGTGTAAAAACCGTCGAGATTTCCTGCGAGACTTGAAAATACAATCGAAGTTTCAGCGTCGGCGAGTGGATTTATTTTTAGTTGCATATAAATTGTTACAAATTGATGCATTGCACATGCGGTCGGCTTGGTATCGTCAGCCATGCGTTTAATATTTATGGACTGAATGACGCGGTGTAGAGTGCTAATGGCATTCATTATGCGCACATGCCCAAGTGGAAAATTTCATGCGCGGATGGGTGCGACATCAATGCGCCGCGAATCAATGCAATTTTCCCTAGG